CTGGTCTACAAGAGCTAGTTCCAGGACAGGCTCTAAAACCACAGAGAAACCCTGTCTCGAAAAAAAAAAACAAAAAACAAAACAAAACAAAATGTATGAGACATAATTAAAACCTTATTTTATGAGCTAAAATTAGAGGTTATATGTAATTTTAAAAAAAGATTTATTATGTTTACAGTGTTCTGCCTGCAGGCCAGAAGAGGGCACCAGATCTTATCACAGATGGTTGTGAGCCACCATGTGGTTGCTGGGAATTGAACTCAGGACCTCTGGAAGAACAGCCAGTGCTCTTAACCGCTGAGCCATCTCTCCAGCCCCTTTATGTATCTCTTGGTTAAAAATGATCAAGAGAACTTTGTGACCTGCACGTGTGGTCCCAATTCCAATTCAACAGGACCCCTGGAACCTAAGAATTCCGTCAAGGCTAGCCTGAGCAACACAGAAATCCACTGAAAACAATCTCAGTGGGTAGAAGAGATGGCTCGGTGGTTAAAAGCACTGGTTGCTCTTCCAGAGGGCCTGATGGAGTTCAATTTCCAGCAACCACATGATGGCTCACAACCATTCCTAGTGGGATCTGATGCCCTCTTCTGGCATAAAGGTGAACGTGCAGAGAGAGCACTCCTACATAAATAACCTTAAAAATCTCAGTGACAAAAGGCTTGTGTATAAGCTGTATTTTATACTAATGCCACAAGGGGGCACTGCTGAGACAGATGAACAAGCAGACGGTCAGCTCAGTTCCTGGATCAGGGCCTTTGATCTGTTATGAATCTGTTTGAATTAGGTTTTAGTCATTTTTGTGGATTCCTGTGCAATTTTTTTCTTTTCTTTCCTTTTCTTTTGTAGCTTGGTATTGAAACTTGGGCTTCAGGAATGCTAGGCAAGTGCCCTATCACTACTCTGTTTTGCAGTTAGAGCCCCTGCAGGCCTTGAACTTGTGATCCCTCCTTGCCTCAGCAAGTGGAGGTCACAAGTGTGTGTTACCAAATCTGGTTTTCATTTCAAGCATCTAAGAAATGGACCAGCAGCAAATATTTTGGATTTATGCTTTTTCATGTGCTAGAACACTAGTTTGCATTTTCAACAAAATAACAAGTCTGAGAACCTGACACATCTCATCAGCATTTCCAGAGCTATGTCAGCCAAGTGTGGTGGCACATACCTTAGTCCCATCACTCAGAAGGCAGTGGGGTAGGATCTGTGTTTGAGGTCAGTCTGGCTTACCTAAGGAGTACCAGTTCATAGTTAACTCAGAAAATGTTTTCATGAGGGCCGCATGGTCAGAGTCCAACTTGTGGGATTCAGTTCTGCCAACTCACCTTTTAGGAAGCCTTCCTTCCTGAGATGGGATTTGGGGACATCTGAGTTCCGAGATCCAAGGCCTCTTGGCCAAGCTTTTCCTTCCTCATCATGACCACGTTCTGTAGTTGCCACCACAGCACAGGACACACCAAGGGACTTCACCATCTCTTCTAAGTATGTACAAGGCAGGAGCATACTCATACAATGCTGGCTCAGGACACCCATTTTTCTCAAGTATCCTGTATGCCATGCAGGGGTATATAAAGGGGCAACCTTTGAGAGCCAATTCTTTCTACCCCAGGAATAAATTCTTTACAACGCTACAATAGCTTGAAATACAACTCAGCAAAGGTCCTGGTTCACATCACCCACAAGTGGTAATTCTGTCATTCCACTCTACCAGATGTTTGTCTTGCCCTAAAATAGTCCTTTAGCTCTTTTAAATACTGCCACCATACCTGTACCAGATGGTTTTGGTGGAATCTTGTTTTAGCAAAGACCTTAGCTGAGCTCAAGATTCTTCTGAATCTGATTCCATTCCCTTACTTGTGCCTTTACCTTACACAAAATGCCTAGGAAAAGATCCTGCCTGGAAATACTGTCCCTTTTCTGTAACCTCGATTCTCAAAGTGTTTCCTTAGGAGTGGCCTCCCAAAATAACACCTTCACCAGCAGAGGAAGACAGATGGGTGTGTGGGCCAGCACAGGGATTCCAAGCCAGTGAAGGAAATATAGGGAGGTCTCTAAAGAACCTGAAAGCCCTTGAGCCAAAGCCATTTGTGGAACCCAAAATGTTCCAGCACAAGTCCCCTCCCTAAGCTTAAGATAGCCCAACTGATCTCTCCAGCTGCCTGAAGTACCTGTCTGCCACATACAGAACACTTTCCCATGATGTCGATAAATGGAAACACCGTTTGTTAAATGCTTTCCAACTTTGTGATTCTTTCCTGCATATAAACTCGACTCAACGTGAAATAGAGTCCGGACATCATGTATTTCTGAAAACAAGTTTTATTTAAATAAGGGTTTAAATACATTACAGAACATTAAAACTGTAAGGGAAAAGAAAACAAAAAAAAAAAACCAGTTTGTTCCTTCACATGGCACTGGGTAGCTGCTACCATTGAGTTGAAACATACAGCTAGCCACATGACCGATGGCATCAGTTTGGTATTTGTTCCCTTGTCATAAGTTTAATTGATACAAGGCTGGCCCCACCCTTCAGTTCTTCCAACATCCCTTGCTATATGCCTGGCTAAAAAGATTACCCTGGTGGCAAGCCACATGTCCCTGACCCCTGGGGAAAGATGGCCATTTCTGAATTCTGCCTACCTGGCCAGACACCAGGGGCTCTTACTAGAGACTCCCTCTAGTGGCATAGCTACTGTGGTGTTACCCATTCTCTTGTTCACCTGGGCTGTTCAAGTGGTGACATTCTCCTAGGACAGGGGATTCTGCAGGGGGAGAGCCAAGGAGCTTCTGGGCAGACATAGCCTATGAACTTGGGGGCTCTGGGCTTGGCTGAAACATAGTTATTGCTTTGTTTCAGGCTGGACACTGCCGGGGCTACTGCTTGACCTGTTTAAATGAGGGACTTCCAGACTAGACAGCATGGCTCTTTTCAGTTTATTGCATGAAGGAGTTACACTAGTCCAAGTTAAAAGCGGACCCCAAATGGTTACATTATACAAGCTGTGAGGTTTTTAAACTTGTGACAAGGGACAGGAGGGAAATTCTACTCATTGCAAGGAAATCCTCACTTAAGCTTCAGAGTCACAAGCACTTAAAACCCATGAACCTTCAGCTGATCGTCCTTAGCCAGTCCAATCTGCAAAGAGAAAGGGACAACAATTTTAAAGGACAGGAGTTAAGTATGTGAATGACACCAACCACCGGCTTTCCCACTATTACACCAGATGAAAGGATTCCAAACAAGGAGGGTACACCTAACAAAGACCAGTCTGGATGGGAGAGCTAAAAGCCCGAGTTAAAGATGACAGGAATCCCACACCTTAGAAAGGCTGAGCATTGAGGCAGGCCTGAACTCACCTCTATTAGGAACTGGCATATGTTCTTGCGCTGGTCACCCTGTAGCTGAATTACTTCTCCATATTCTGGATGCTCAATTACAGTACCATTGCAGGCAAATTTCTGTAAACACAAAAGGTGCAGAACATGAGGCTAAGCAACAGCACTTGATCCCTTTCAGTTTGCATCTTCTCGCCTTGTAGACAGCAAATCGTGCTCTTTCTACAGCAGACACCTCTTTTCCATTTTTGGTTCGAGACAGGGTTTCTTTGCAAAGCCTTGGCTAGCCTCGAACTCAGATCTGCCTGCCTTTCCCTCCCCAATGCTAGGATTAAAGGCGTGCACCACTACGCCCGGCTAGGACCTACCTTCTTAAACGCCTTCACTAGTTTCTTTTTATCGTAATCATCAGCGATCCCTTGGACAGTGGTAAGGGTCTTCCTGCCGTTTCTCTGTTGAATTCTTATATGGATATAATCCTCAGTGCCAGCAGGAAGCAGGTCATCACCCTTACTTGCATCAGCAAAGGGGTCGAAAGAGTGGAGGTTCTGAATAGCGGACATACGATACGATTCCTTTTCCTCGGTGGAAACGGCCTGCGGAAGGCGGCTGCGGGAGAAGGCGGGCGGGGGGGACGGAGCGTCGGGAAGCGAGGGGGCTCGAGGG